TACGCGGATGACACCACATTTAAAGCCAGCGCTAATATCGATAATGCACCTTTGGAATTGGAACGACGTCTTCAAGAATACATGGATAAATTAAGTAAATGGTCTAGCGAAAATGGGATGGTCCTAAACGCCGTTAAAACCAAAGCATTACTTATCACCGGAAAGAGGCTACATTCATCATTAGTTGATGGCAATCACCTGTCAGTGACCCTTGATGGGGCCGAAATAGAACAAGTAACCTCTTATAAATTGCTTGGTGTAACACTCGATCAAGATCTTACATTTAGTGACCACATTTCTAGCCTAAAGGCCAAGCTTTCTCAGCGTATTGGTTTATTGAAAAAGATAAAGAGATACCTTCCAATAAAAGAAAGACTCTTATACTATAACGCCTTGATTAAACCCGTCCTTATGTACGGGAGCATGGTTTGGAATATCTGCGACGTTAAAGAACTCCACTGTCTCCTAAGGTTACAGAAAAGGGCTGCCCGAGTAATTCTTGGAGTGGACTCTTATTCTAGAAGTGTTGTAAACTTTAGTAAACTAGGCTGGTTGCCTTTTTTTGATGAAATCAAACTAAATAAGTGTACAATGATTTTTAAGAGCCTTAAAGGCGATGTTCCGATTTACATCAGAGACTTGCTCAAGACGAACAGTTCTGTACACAATAGGTCTACTAGACATGGCAATTTAAATTTAGTGTGTCCCAAATACCTAAGAAATAACGATGGTGGCAAGGCATTCAGTGTTGACGCAGTTAAGTTATGGAACAGCCTTCCCCATGATATCAAAAATAAGCCTAGTATAAAACTATTCAAAACAGCTGTGAAAAAGCATTTTATAAGCTCATATAAAAACCTGGACAACTTTGAAACAATATTAAGCAATAGCACATTATCTAATTTTAATTTTTTATAAATTAATTTTATCTTTCTGAATATTTTTAATCTATCCTGCTATTTCTATTATAGAATTTTGTAATTATTTATATATTTATTTATTTATCAGTTTTTTGTAATGCTGTATAATCTAGTTAGAGGGCCACAGGTTTGTCAACTATACAGCTGTTACGTGTCCCCCTCTATAAATAAAGTCCTTACTTACTTCTTTACTAGGTCTTTGCAGTTGTTCGCCTTCGAATTGTATATTTTTCCTACCCTGTTGTGTTTGCATTTTATTGCAGGTGCAATGCTGAGAACATTGACCATAGTAATAATGTTTAAATGTTGATAATTGAAAAAATTGTGAACCAGCATCTCAGTGTTCAAAGGTAAATAAGAGTTCAAATGCTTTTAAAGACCGTTTAAGTAATTGCATTTCGAGAGCTGGTAGTTTCTTTTTCTTTTTTCAGTATTTCTTTATTTTTCAGCTTTTGTGGACTGTACAATATTGATTCTAGATATGAATCTCTCTAATGATGTGTCGAAGGAAACTGCTCCAGGGAATTCAACCTCAGGAACTCCATCGTCAATGGAGAAATCAGTGTCAGAGGGTCTCAATTGGGTTAACTGTTGGCAGTTAAGTGACCTCAAATATTTCTCTTTTGATCGTAACAGAAAGAAATGAACCGATAGCTGTAAAATAGTCAAAAATTTAAACGCTAAAGAAACTAGCCATCATGCCATTGAGACCCTCTTGTAATTTATACTGGCTAAAACATAAGCTTGGTTACAAAAATTCTCAGATAATTATTCTAAATTCCTTTTCTGTTCGGTTTGTACCGCCCTCCTCTTTGTTGTGCTAAGCTCGCATATTAATCAGGTTTTCTATTGATCGAAGTCATATGTTTATTTTCTTCAACCGAAAAGGATCAAATGATAATTCTGGGAATTATTATAGCCTATATTAAGTAAGGAAATGAGAATTTGAAAGGAATGCAAAAATTGAAAAAAGGACGAGAAAGGTAATGAGAAATAGCATGTTAGCCGACATTTGAAACAAAGTTTGGTTCAAAGCAGGTGCTCAATGAAGGTGCTTGGAAATGCGGCTGTTAAATATTATTCCCAAAGTGCACTAAGAAGATTTTCCGATGAAATTTTTGTATTATGAGTAAGACTGCAGAAACTGATTGCAATTTACTTTACATCAACACACTTCAGCCGTTTTCCATCTGCTCACAAAACTCTTCATTTGACTCGTTCTAGTCCTCCGCACGGGGCTAACGCCTGGCGCTCACAAAAAACAAACAAGTTTGGGTTAATCACGTGTCCATCCTGCCCCCCGACGAGAGGCTCCGGATCCTCAGCTCTTCTCTCTAAAGCACGTACTCTGGCTGGCCGGCGACGTTCAATGGGCACACTACAGTTATCGGGCTTATAAGCTTCTGGCCTCTTGTGCTCACTTAGACAACACGCACCTGTCCATCCTGACCAGTGAACACTTCTTCTACTCGACCCAGATGCCACTACATCCTCAACCTTCAGGTTTTCTTTCACTTGTCTCCATTCCTTTCGCGCGCTAAGTGTTGACAGATACTCTTCTCTCCAGCGCTTCCAGATCACCTTCACCAGGTTCTGAATCAGTCTCCAACGGTTCCTGGATTAAACGCTATATCATCATGTTTAGTTTCCGGTCTGTATCCTACAATCTACGCGGAAATTATATTTTGTCTCTACCGTCTACAAAAACTACTACTTATGGTCTTCACTACTTTTCATATATGGCTTCAAAAATTTGGAACTCTCTTCCGGACTCTTTTAGAACGTCTGACTTTTCTGATTTCAAGCGCAAAATTCTACAGTATGGCTCTTTCTCATAATTAAATTTTAGAATGTTACAATTTTAAATTTTACATTTTAGTAGTATTTAGAATTATACTTGTAACTCGAAGATACTAGCTTATTCTTCAGCTACTCCAAATTCGAGATTAAATGAAGTATATGTATGTATGTATGTATATGTATGTATCAGTAACTTGAGGTGCTAGCTGTCCTCTTAGCTGCCCAACTAAGAAGTGGTTAGGTGTCAACACTAGCTCGTCTCGCGGGCAAGCTCCTACATACATCAATGGTCTCGAATTCATCAATGCTTCTACTTTCTTGATAGCAGTCTGCAGCTCGTCAAGGGCTAGCCTGGCATTTCCAACTATTGCTTTCAGAGTTTTTTTAGCTACTCTAACCAACAACTCAAACACCTCACCAAGTGCGAGCTCAGCGGAGGATTCCGATTCCATGTGATCCTATTATTGGCATAATTAGCTGCGATCTATTCCTGGTCTACTGCTTGAGCAAGTTCTCTAAGCTCTCTCTCCGCTCCTACAAAGTTTGTCCCATTTTCGCTTGTAACATCTTCCGTTCTTCCCCTGGTGAACGCATTCAGCAAATCTGTGGTGCTCAATGAACGTGCCATTTCTAGATGCACCGCTCTGGTTGCCGAGCACGTAAACAGGCACAGATATCTTATAGCAAAAATCCATCAAGTAATCTTGGTCCTAAAGGAGCCAGCGCAATGAATACAGCACAAATAAGGGCGGGATTTCCAAATCGTTGAGTTAACTCTGCAATAGCCTTTTCATACATTGCACTATCGAAAGATTTTCTTAGCAGTTCCTTTAGCT